TCCCACGAATACTAGTATATCTAAAACAAATTGTACAAATATAAAATTATTTAAACCACTTTTCTCCAGGCATAACCTTTTACTGTTGAAATTGCTCTTTGAAGTGCTAGTAAAAAGAAGTTGGAATCACCCCTAATGTAACCCCAGGCCTTCAAAATAGATTTTCTAGCTTTGAACAATTTCATTTCCTTTTTAGCTAACCTGAGCCGAAGACTCAATTAAGTTAGCTTTCCTGAACAAAATTTGTCTGTTGTCGTTGTTGGCGTTGTCGTAAAGTGTTTACATTTTCATCTTCTTCTACTGGACCAATTTTAACCAAACTTGCCACAAAGTATCCTTGGATGAAGGGAATTAACGTCTGTTCAAATGTCCTTTTTCAAGGGGAGATAATTATGAATTGTTGAAAAGTTATTGGTATCTTTTAAACATTCATCTTCTCAAGAACCATCGGGCCAGGAAAGATGAAACTAGTTGAAACATATGGAAATAAGGAACAGCATCCAAGACCAAAAGTCCATAAAAAATTAAAAAAGGAGCAGAGCAAACACGGACCTCCAAAACATCGGAGGTGGGATCAGGTGCCATGGAGGAGTGAACAGAAAAACGGAAATAACGGAAAAATCCGTCGTTAATTCATAAATATATATATAAATAGTGGACTAACAATTAGTATGAAAAACGTCAGTCATCATTTGACTCAATGATAAATTGTATTTGCTGACAAGGTCATTGTATCGACCATAAAACTTACGAAATGATGACTTTAAACGAGACTGCTGATATTCTTGTTTCATCAACTTGATAATCATTAATTTACCTCGTTTTAGAAATTGTTCATACGTAGAGCATGCTCTTGCGTATCGAATCAACTGAGATATATAAATTCCGTATGCAGGTGATGGTACTTTAATTATCTTCTGTTGTGATCTTGTCTGTCTCTGAAATGTAATATTACTGACCAACACAAGGATTTACCTTACCAAATCATCAAGGATTATAAAGTATAACCAATAACAAGGAAATACCAAATATATAGGTTAAACTGAAAAAGTATCTCCTTCATTGGAGATTTGATCAATTATAAAAATTCGGCCGGGCACGTTACAAGGTGCCATGGAGGGGTGAGCATCCCCTGCCGACCGGTCATACCGGCCGTGTGCTCCTTGTGATGATCGGGAAATAACGGGAAGATTCGTCATCAATTCAGTGTATAAATAATGGGCTAACAAATAGTATGAAAAACATCGGTCAGCATTTGACTCAATGATAAATTGTGTTTGCTGACAAGGTTATTGTATCGACCCTAACGAAATGATGACTTTAAACGAGACTGCTAATATTTTTGTTTCATCAACTTGCTCGTCAATAATTTACCTCGTTTTAGAAGTTGTTCATACGTAGAGCATGCTTTTGCGTATCGAATCAACTGAGATATATTAACTCCGTATGGAGGTGATGATTGATTGATTGAATATATTGTATAACGTCCCTCTCGAAAATTTTTCACTCATATGGAGACGTCACCGTTTGCCGGTGAAGGGCTTCAAATTTTGACCTTTACTCGGCACTCAGGGCCATTGAGCAGTGAGGGATCTTTATCGTGCCAACGCCTGCCGCTGACACGGGGCCTCGGTTTTTAAGGTCTCATCCGAAGGACCCGCAACTTTCACTTCAAAGTGCCGAGCGCATGGCGAAGGAACAGTTGCTACCCATTTTTTATCGACTGGGTCAGTCGCGGTCGAGATACGAACTCACGACCTCCCGATCACGGAGCGAGCGCTCTACCGACTGAGCTACCGTGAACGGTATGGAGGTGATGAAGGTATATTGCTGCGTAAGTAAGGGAAGTTGACGATAGAAAAGTTAAAGTCATCACGTTTATCATAGAGCTTGGTTGTTAGATTACCATTAATGTCTTTTTCAAGTAAAATATCCAAATATGAAACAGATGTGTCAGACTCTGTGGTATCTTTTATCTCAAGCTAACCAGGATATATCGTATCGACATAAGAATGGAAATTACCATTGTTAATTCACAATACGTCGTCGATATATCTAAATGTCGAGTTGAAGGCCACAGCAAGTGTTTTCTTTTTTTTTACGTATAAGATTTAGTACAAATTCTGCTTCATATGAATACAAAAATAGGTCTGCTAATAACGGAATGCAATAGGTACCCATGGGAATTCCAATAGATTGTTGGAAGACCTGGTCTCCAAAAACAACATAGATGTTGTCAATCAGAAACTCAAGCATTTTTTATGTCAACTTCAGAGCTTTTGTGTACAATCAGAATGTATTAACAAAATAATTCTGCAAATGACCATTGACAAGGTAAGTAAATTGAAGAGTTCAATCTTTATTGAAAAAAGCAGCTGTCAATGACATCAAAAAGTTTGGGCTTTAATTTATCGTGAGGTATGGTTGTGTATAAAGTTGAAATAGCTGTAAGTTTTTAAGCTATTGATTTTGGTAAAATCTTGTGATTACAAATTCTCCAAAAGTTTCTTGGAATGTTTCAGTATCCACATCTGATTTACACTACTTCTAGAATATATTGTTGCAAAGTACTCTCGAAGTTTCATATTTGGCCCATCGCCTGGCGTAGTCTTCAACAGAATCCATAATATTTATGAAATTCCGACGCCAGTTGAAGGATTGGGGTTCCCTAGATTTAGGACCTTATAAAATAAGTGATGTAAGGTCCTCATTATTATCTATACTAGTATTTACGTCACCAGCAGGACTATAGTTACATGTATAGGGTGAAGAACTTGAACACGATGTAGGATTATGTTTCAGATTTTCAATATCCAAGCCATAAAAAAAGTATTTTTGTAATTGAAAAGTATGGAAGCAATAGTCGATGTATATTTGTAGGAAATACAAGGTGTAGTCTTTAACTTGAAATAACGTGGAATAAAAGACTGGACCCTTTTGTGATTAAGAATTTTACTTATAATATTAACCGCGTCAATACCTTTATTGGCATACACGAAGTTTAAGGAAAAGAAGGATTGTTTCAGCTGCATTTTCTTCAGTAAAACTAGGGAGGGGGGAGGGGGTAAAAGGCCTATGATTTGCAATATCCATAATGAAGGATATGGAGATAACGAACAGTATTCAATATCAAAGGTCATAAACAATACAAAATAGGAGCAGAGCAAACACGGACCTCAAAAACATCAGAGGTGGGATCAGGTGCCGTGGAGGAGCGAGCATCCCCTGCCGACCGGTCACACCCGCCATGTGTTCCTTGACATGATCGGAAAACACCTCTGATGTTTTGGGGGTCCGTGTTTGCTCTGCTCCTATTTTGCATTGTTTTATGGACTTTTGATCTTGAATACTGTTCCTTATCTCCATATGTTTCATTCATTTTGCAGGTGGAGGGCTGCAAATTCATACCTCTAGTTGGCATTCAGGGCCAATGAGCAATGAGGGGTCTTTTTCTTGCCAACGCCTGCTGCGACACGGCTTTCTCATTCGAAGGAGCGATCTTCACGTCTTGCAAATGATTCAAACCCGCGACGTAAGGATCAACTAATTACTGCGACTCTAAACAGACGCTCTTGCCACTGTGTATGCCACGCGGGCGACAAAACAAATTGATAAATATGAAGGGAGGGGTTAGTTGAGACGGAAATATTGCATATTGACGCTCAGGTGACGGCTGGGCAAATGATTTCTCTCTCTCTCTCTTTTAAGATATCAATTTTGCTAATATTACTTGCATTTTTTTTTTCGTGACTGAGGTATATTTATACTCCTGTATACGAAGTTTGGGATAAATAGAATTCACGCTGTCCGTCTGTCTCTCCCTAAGCAACAGAGGCCCTGGACCAAGGAGATAAGAAACCACAATTTTAGAAGATGCACACTACAGTATGATTGTTAAATACTCATATGAATACTCATATGAAAAGATTTTCACAGGGGAAAAAAGCATTTTTACAATACATGTGTATTCAGCAGAGTCAATACTGTAACATAACACAAAAAAGCCTTGACCCCGAGAACACGAATTTCATACATTTTTTACGAATATACCGGTAATCAAGAGTCCCCCCATCGTCTCAAGCTATGGTCCGGAGTCCGCATATAGCTCTCTCCTACAATGAGAGGATCGTACATTTTGGCCGTATTTTGCGACGATGGAGTCCCCCTTTCAACATAAATCCACTGACCCTAGGGCCACAAATTCCACAGTTTTAGAAGGTATTCATGCGCGTGGCCATTATGACCATGAACTGTAAATGAAGTTTCACTATATAATCAATATTCCCGACCTTACTTCGCGGCCCCTTACCCACCTTACAGGCCACGAAATTCAAAAATTAATTTGGAAGAGGCACCCTACTCCATCATAACGACAAACTTTGCATGCTTAGTTTACGTGCTTAATCTTAAGGTCAGGAGCAGAAAAAAATATTTAAATTAACACACTGGAAATTGTGTTCCATCTTTCTCTTCAACGATTACAAGATTACAAAACGTATGTTTTAGCATGTTTAATCAATAATCACATACTGTAGACGTATTTATTTCCACGGGGTCATAATTCCGCGGAATCTCAATTTCTGTTTAATCCGCGGGTAGAAAATTACGCGGATTTCTTGACTGCTGCTATAATCCTTACATTTATATTTAATATGCTTGGACAAATTTCCGCGGAAAATTTCTGACCGCGTACATAGCGTAAATCAATACCCCGCGGAAAAAAGTACTTCTACAGTATTAGAGGTAGATTAATTGGTGATGAAGAAGTAGCTGAAAGGGCACCAAAACATCTGCTAAAATATGTGTTTATTATCTTTTTAAGTCAACCAAGTGAAATCAGGTGGTATACTGCTGTTTTCATCCATTTTTTAACACCAATATTTTCATCACCATTTTCAACTTATTTTCAAAAGTAGCTGTACAGAAAAAATTCCCTGTCTGCCAAAGCAAAAAAAATCTGATTCCTTACAGCTTTTAAAATAAATATTCAAATGTTAAAATATATTTCAAATTTTTAATCAGTAATGCTTACAAAATAACAAATGTTTATAAAAATTGCAGCAATAAAATTTTGTGATACTTTTTTAAAATGGAATTATTTACATTAAGTCAAGATATCTTTGTTGCTTCCAGTGGTGGAATAATTCATTCAGAAATATGTGATAAACTTCAAACCTACAACACACTTCAAGAAAGATCCAATGAAGTCTACTACAATGTATTTGATAATAAAAATGAACTTTTTTAATCAATATTTCATATTTCATTCACTGAATACAGAACAATTACAAGTAAACACAACATCATTTTATGAGTGAAAATTTCAGATCAATTCAGCAGTCAGCACACATACTACCTTTGCTTTCATCATGCACACACATATTTCTAAAACTGTATGCCATGATATAAAGGAGTTTCTCTGGAAGCATCAACAGCTCACATCAATCAAAAGGCATGATGACAAAATAATGGACCATGGAATATACATACATGAATGAAGTGATGGGGGATCATGTGAAGATAAAAGACAAATTAAAACCATTGCTTCTGTCTATAAATAACAACATCACAGACTGGAACCACTGATCATTACAAACTTCTGACCACATAAAATACACAAACATGGCACTGACAAGTGTCACATGTCTTTGTTCCACTTTCACTTGTAAGTTTTGCGATTTTCTTTTCTACAGGACTTTTCTGTTCTATAAGAAGTAGTCTGGTTGAGGCTTTTTTGATGGAATACCTCTTGACTCCTAAAATGTAAAAATAATTATAGTACTATTAATTTCTTATGCCTGAACTTAAGGTATGTCACTCGTCAGCTTTTTAGAAAAGTCCACGCAGAACCTCTTTCTTCAAAACTATTTATTAAAACTCAATTTTTATAACATATTGAATTTCAACAATGTTAATGTTTCAACATTCAACGAAAAAAAACCTCAAAAAGCTACAAAGAAACAAGATTTATGAGGGACTATTTCTTGTGGTGGAAGGATATTTAGCAGAAAATTCTGTAAATCTACACATTTAATAAATTTAATGTCTTGGAACTTTAGCGTCACATACTTTTACTCGGATAATATTTTCCATTATGATATTGCTAGGAATACAATGTATTTAATATAGGTTTTAATTTAAATTATTAGAACAGGTTTGACATCTCCATTCAACAAATTTTTCCAAAAAATGAAGATACGTCAAATAAGTCAAGATAAAATTTACACCATTTTTCGCCTGAAAATCACATATTTTGACCAATATTTCCAAATTTACATCACTGACCTCAACTTTTTCTTTCATTATTTTAAAGTACTTGTAACTGATCAGCACTTACTTCGTAAAAAGCTTGATTTAAGAAAATGTTTCATTGCCTTTTTAATTTTCCAATACCCCAAATATGTTACTTTTTAGTGCAAAAAGGTCACACAATAATTTACACGCATTGATTTGCAAGATTTGTTCAATGATAAATATTGTTCAAAATATTTCACGTAAAATAAAATCATATTTATTGCTATGGTTACATCTGATAAAATATGATAAAGGTTAAAGTAATTAACCAAAGAGTTAGAATTTAAGTACAAAAAGGTCAACTTCATTGTACCGTAGATCAGTAAGATGAACACTGACCCCCTATTTTCTCTGCGATTTTGAGTCACTCTATATGTGTACTTATCCAAAATATACTTCTAAAAAATCCCTGATTTAACAAATTTCATGAGTGACATACCTTAAGTTACATGTACCATATTCTATTTCTAAACAAAACTGACATGTCATTATGCGCTATGATTTATCAAAGAAAATATAAATGGTAAATGAAATACTGTGTAATATTACTCAGCTCATTCCAGATAGCTTTCAATCAATTCAAAGGGTGATGATTAAATACCTGAGGTGCTGCTTCAAAAATTGTGAAATCCCTATCCAAGTGTTCATCTAATTCCAGAATTGCTGCAACATTTCCACATCTGAAAAAGATAGAAGACAGTAAGCTTTGCATCCTGGTTATTTATGCATTTTAATATAGAATTAATGTTTTATCTTGTTTATCTTTAGTAGGAAATTTGAGGTCTCTGAAGAGACTGTTGTGACTAAAAACAAAGGAAGAAAAATATTAATTGGAACTGAAACTATGGTAACACAAATAGAATACCGTATAAGTGGTAATTTTAGCGAGACGCAAATTTAGCGATTTGTCCTTAAAAATTGGTATTTGAGCAAGATGTAATTTTAGCAATTTAAGAAGCTATAACAAATCAAGCGCAATTAATTTTTAGCGATATTCAATTTTAGCGATCTTGGCACCCTCGCTAATAATGCCAAAATTAAATCCTCGCTAAAAATTCTGTTTATACGGTAATCTCCCCTAATTTTAAAGACAGGTGACACTACAAAGTTTAAAACAATGGTAAAATAATATTACCTGTAACAATAGTTAGGAGCTGACCACACAGTTAATACTGTCTCACTGAAGTGCCACTTGTATCCCTCCATGACTAACTGATGAGCTCGACATATAAGATCTATACTGTTGGCTGCATTAAACTGTGCCACCACATCATGTCCAAAGAGGTACCCTGCTCCTCTAGGACTCACTCCCCAACCCTGCATATCTACAAACAAAAGTATAGTCCTGGTTTTAATTCAAATCATAATCTTCATTAAATTCCTTTTTTTCCCGAAACTTTAGGAACGTGCAATAATTTTATGTGGACAAAGATCATGCATATACTTTCTCAATAATTCTATAATTAGAGACAAACCTTCCGGATCAGACCAGAGTAGGTCACACATTGGACCGTCATGTGGCACTTCCTGTTTCCTGTCTATTGCACGAATTTGATCGAGTGTCTGTATAGAGGGAGATAATCCACCATGAACACAAAATATCTGTAAAAAAAGTAAAAGATACCATAAATAAAAATCAAAAATATGAATTCATTAAATGTAAATGAAACTTCAGTCTTTCATATGCCTTGGTGGAAAGGTTTATAATCATGAATTGTTTAATTCTGTAGGAACTGAACGTTCTGATTATATTTGTACCACTCTAGTCTCTAGTCTTCAAATTATATATGCACAAAAATTTTGAAGCCATTGATCTTCAAATGTACAGCCTATATGTGGAATTTTTTCAAACTTATTTTCATTTCCCTTTAGAGACAACATTCCTTTGTCTTTTTAGGATAAAATTTGACAATAATTCTAATCAACTATGATGATGATATGTCAAATTAAAGAGTCTTGCCATGACTAGTTTTTTTGCAATTTTCATTTATTAATGCTCTATACACTGCAAAATAAAAAGCACTGATACTTCTATGGAGTTAATCTCTCTTTAAATGTAAAATTTAATAAACTGAACTCCAGTCTATTACTCGATTTGTAATCAATGCAACCACTCCAACGTTTTAAGAGTACAAGATAATAAACAGTAACTGCATGCATTTTCCCTACTCAAGATTACACAAAACATCAATGATATCTGTTCATAGGTACTTCAATCATTTTGAATATTGAACCATGACTTTGAACCATGGAGAGGTCTTATAAGCAGAGCCTGCTGCCCAATCCTATCTTGTTATTTAATCTCATTTTTTAATTCCTATATAAAAATGTAAATTTTTCAATGTCCAAAAAATATCCAATTAAACAGAAATTTAATGTTAAATATATACAAAACAACAGAAAAGGTTCTAAAACAACAAGCACAAAAATGTAATAAAAAATACCCTAACAATCACTGATCTCCTTAAGCTGAGTCTACATTTACTGATTTCTTAAAACCAAAGAAAACCAAGACCTTACCTTTCCATCTATAATTGCTGAGAGGCTGAGATAGTCGAATATTTCTGTGCAGTATCTCCAGACAGTGATGGAGCCATACTTCCTCAGACACTCATCATAAAATCCATACACCTGGGTAATCTGCCTGCTCTCATGGTTCCCTCGGATTAATGTGATTCTGTCTGGATATCGTACCTGTCATACAAAAAACATCAGTCTATTGATTTTAAACTACTATAAAGTCATTGTAACTACATATGTATTTCATATGCAAGTCCTTAGAATTAAATACATGCAGAAATTGTTTGTCCTGATATAAATTGCTATAAACAATAAAGACTTAAATTAAATACTTTCATCTGAAGATAAAAAATCCAATTATTTTGTAGTGAAATAAGACACTGACATTTATTTTTTTTTTCCATTATTAATGAAGATGCAATGTCAATATTTCATACTGCATATTGAATGTGAAAAATTATACAAACCTTAAGGGCTAATAACAACAGAAATGTTTCTACACTGTAAAAGCCCCGATCCACAAAGTCTCCCATAAATAAATAATTTGTGTTTGGAACATCACCTCCAACTTTAAAAAGCTCCTTAAGATCATAAAACTGGCCGTGAATGTCCCCGCATACCTGTAAAATGAAGCATACAAGAAATTCAATTTCAATAAATATTTGTTCAATAAGAGCACATCCATGATGCCATGCAACATCAAAAGTTAATCAAAAATTCAAAAAGATTAAAACTTGAATCTAATCAATACATAAATACATAAAATCGATACTGAAGCTAGTTTAAAAAAGAACCTTTATGGCTGTCATTTTTTAACAATTTGAGTGGATGTACAATCTAAAACTGTCAGATTTATTCATTTAATTGCAGTATCTAATTAACCAAAACATACCTAAAACAGAATAACTTTGGATACATACCGTTACTGGCGAGTCGACTCTTTGTACATTGCTCTCCTCCACCAGAATTTCCCGAGCTCTGGCACATAATGCCTTTACCTCACTCTCTTTTATCACTTCACATCTTCTCAACTGTTCAATTTGTCTGCAAATATTAAACACTGTGTAAATACAAGATATAATCTGCAAATTGGGAAGCACATTTTTGTGCCCAAATAGCAAGAATTTTCTGCTTACCACAATTTCAATAAGAGCACATCCATGATGCCATGCAACATCAAAAGTTAATCAAAAATTCAAAAAGATTAAAACTTGAATCTATTCAATACATAAATACATAAAATCGATACTGAAGCTAGTTTAAAAAGAACCTTTTATATATGGCTGTCAGTTTTTAACAATTTGAATTCACGTTCTGATGGCACCTGACCCCACCTCTGATGTTTTGAAGGCCTGTGTTTGCTCTGCTACTATTTTGTATAATTTAATGGACTTTTGATCTTGAATACTGTTCGTTATCTCCATATGTTTCATAGTGGAGGACAAATCATAATTTAATGGACTTTTGATCTTGAATACTGTTCGTTATCTCCATATGTTTCATAGTGGAGGACAAATCATACAGCTCAAAATTGGAAATGAACTAACTAATGATCGACAATGTGACAGTCTACAACAAGTTGCTTGAAGAGACTTAGAGGTATGTTTAAAGTGTATCTAAGTGCTCTTTATCGTATTCAGAGATAAATACAATTGCTTGTACAAGAACATCAAACCATCAAATGATGGTATATGGTGAAGAATTAAGATATTAATATATTAAGGAACAGTGATAGATTTTATTAATCCTAATTCCTGAAACAATGTAAATCTATACTAGTTCAAATACACAGACTCCTGTAATTACCAGAGATGGGATCAGGTGTGATAAGACTGATGTGTTGTTGTCATGCATTGAGTTCCTTAATATAAACCTATAACGTCTTTAAATATAACATGTTTGGTGAATCAATGAATAAATTGAACTTGTGACACGATAGCGGTGTTTTTCTTTGAAGTTTACTGTTCTGTATTAGCAATACAGAACGGCACTATGGTGGGCGGAGCTACTTTCCGTTCTGTATTAGCCCTGTATACCGTAAATCTGGAAATTTTTGATGTAGATAAATTTTAGCAAATTTGCAAGTTCATTGCATTCGCAAAAATATTTTTCTTCAAAATAAATTACCAATAAGAAAATGTAAACAAAGCAGTGGTCATTCGCAATTGAAAAGTAAAAATTAATCAACAGAATTTTGACCCGAATTTGCAAAAATCAATGTAAAAATTTCCAGATTTACGGTACTTCTCTTGTATTAGGCAACTATTCTGTATCTAAAATACAGCACGGTCTAAAAATAAATATGATTCAATTTATCAAAAGCATGTACAAATAGTAATTGCTCATGTTTTCCCATTATAAATTTTAAAGAAATATTTCTCCGTGAATGTAAAATATCAAAATTTCTCAATCACTTTTAAAAACTTATTCCACATAGAATCTGCACATACTTTCGATCCAAACGAAAAGGAAAATTCGCAATAATAGAAAACATCCACTCTCCTCATGCAAATTTGATCAAGACAACAGCTGTTCAAGTCCATTTTTCGCGCTTTTATTTTTAAAAATTTCAGCTTAGGCCAGCATTTTTTTATTTTTAGGTTTACGAACATAAATCCTTATTTTTTTTGGATACATTACCGACTTTTTCTATGACAACAGGCTCCTTGCCATCACATAAGGGTTACAAAGGGGAAAATATAACCCTTAATTGTTTACCAGTTGGGGCCAGTGATTTAAATGATAAATCTTCTGATGTTGGACAAAATACGGATTTAAAAAAAACCCAGATTTTTAAAACTCTTTCAATATACACATATATATAAATCTTCATATTAAATATAATTTTTTAATATGAAATAATGTGTTGAAATTGTTCTAAATACCGTAAATTCCTTTCTTAAAACAGAAAGGGAGTAAAGGATGGAATTTTTTTCAATTAAGTGTAAAATAATTTTTCTGGCTGCCACAAAAGATACTACCTGCCTGTATATATTTGTAATTTTGTATATACTTGTTTTTAAATATCTGAAATATTTTGTTTCTTGGCAAAATTATAATTGTTTATTTCTTCATCAAATGGACTAATCTCTCCCATAGTTTTATTCATTAGTACATCCATAAGCAACCCCTTTCGTTATGCTAAGACTGAAAGCTATAACAGAAACTTAAACAATGTCTCTGACAAGAAAAACCATGGGCAGTTTTAAACCTGTGGGAGGAAATTAATATACAGATAACATTATCTCACCAACATGTCATTGTGCAACAAAGTTGTCAAATTTGTTCCCTGAATGAGTGAGACAATGGCACTCCTATCGATAAGTATTTACATTAAATCAAGGTTTAGTGCTGCTATGGACTTGACAAATCTACCTTCGTTATCCGCCATCCATTTTTGAAACCGGAAGTACGAGTAAATTTGAAATCTCGATCCCGACTCAAATTTGACATTGAAAAAAATCTGTTTTTCTCAATTTTATTTTTTTTCTGAAAATTCAAAAACTTTTGTAAACCTAAAAATAAAAAAATGCTGGCCTTAAATCCTTATCGCTTATGACAGCCGCACATCTCAGTTCATTTTTAATGTCGCAAAGCAATTAGAAAATAAAAATACGTGAAATCAAAGTCCATCGAAGAGTTTTCTGAATAATATACTAGTATCCTGATTTTGTAAATCCATGCAGTTAAACTGGGATTTTAAGTCCCCTGAAATATATAACGATAAATCTCCATCTACAACAGACCACAACAATTAGTTAAAGGTTAAATCCTCCACCTTATCCATAAAGACTGATCATCACTTGATTACGTCTACCCCATTAAATTGTCAAAACTGATCTGACCGAATCTTGCTTTTTCCGTGGAAATATATATGCTGCGGGTGCGTACTCCCCGTCGGGGCCTCATCTACAGAACTCTGGCGGAAGTTTGGATGCTGCACAGTTATAAAGTGGGCGGGACTATTTTCGACTGATCGTGTCACAAATCATTTGGAGAACTCGACAGGTTCTGTAACGTAGATACAAATTGGGGGGTGGAGACTCGTGCTAGGCACTCGTCCATCCCCCAATTTGTATCGACGATACAGAATCTGTCTTGTTCTCTAAATAATATTTAATCATGTTAATTGAATATAAGTTTGTTTAAGATCCGATAAAATTTACCTGTCTAAATCACTGGTCATTTTTTTCTGCTGGAATTGATGAACCTGTAACAAAAGAGGAAAAAGTTCATACTCTTAATTTCCTCTCTCTTAAAGTCCTTTGTTACACTTCAGGGTGTTCATAATGTCTATTTTTTCATCACATCACGACACATGGTTTATATACAAATAGGTGGTTCATTTTCCTTCATTGTAAGGATGAAATAGTGAATATGTAATTATTTAATCCTAGTCAAAGTACTGTTTAATTAACGAACTATTAAAATATATAAAAATTATGCAATGAATCAAGAAATATATTTTCATTTCAAAGAGGTTTCTTAGTTAGGCTTACAAGTTACGTGTTTGGGCAACGCTAGTTTGGGATAATCTCGTTGGAAAATAAATATATGAAAAGGTGATCGATGCAACAATTTTAAATACTTTTCAATTCATGACCTCATACTTAAACACAGAAATGTATGAATCACTAAAGCGGAGAGATAACAAAATTACTAACCAGTCCAGTCTCGATGTTCCCAAACCTTTTTCTCTGACGTCACAACTCCGATCTCGATGAAGTCTCGGTAAACGAGATCAATATTATTTTTTGGTCTTATATGAAATTTCCTAATTAGGATCAGATTATCTTGTTGTTTCAATGAAAAAACTATCATCATCATTATTTCTTTTATCATTATATATTTTTTTGGTAAATTGAGAAAACCGTTAACGAACAACTCGGAACTTTCCGAAAAAGTATAAAGCGTTTTCATTTTTCAACATTGTGTGTGTCAGTGTGTGTTGAAATCAGTTAAAAGCAAACTTAATTCAAATTATTCATCACTTGTAATCAAACTCTTTACAATCATAGGTATTGGACCATTACGACAACGTCTGACATGCGGGGAAGGGGGGGGGGGGGGTGTTCATGCGTTTCTATCATGTTTTTAAAACCATGTTATATGTGCATTCCAGGTATTTCTTCCCGTATCATGATAAGGGATGACGATTCTTGTAAAAGAAGCCCGCTTTCTACCAAACCATAGACGCTTGAAACCCTTGGCTACGTGAAAGATGGTGTTACAGATTAAAATGAAAAGAGACATATTTTAACAAATTCACCATTGCATACATTTTTCAGTGATAAAGTAATTGTTCAAAACTTATTCAAATGATGAGATCAAAATTTTGTTGAATAGAAAAATTTATATTTTGCAAGCAACTTTTTTTTTTTACAGTAAATACTAATTCCTAATATGCATACTATACAGTGACGTAGTGCTCGTTTTTGAAGGGGGGGGACCAGTAAAAAAAATCAACTTCTTTTCAGTACCACGTATAAAATTTCCTTCCCAATATACAACATAACCCTTATTTGAGCCTTGCTCTTACAAAAAGTGTGTGGGGGGGGGGGGGGGGGCAACCGGACTTCCAATAACGATTTTCAATGGTAAAATGTCTTGAAAAAAGTGGGGGGGGGGGGGAACGCTCCCTCTGCCCCCCCCCCCCCCCTGTTGCTACGTGCCTGCTATATATACATATAATACTATAATAGTAATATAAATTTATTTGTGTCCATCCCTATTTTGTAATTATTCTGCCCAGATTACATACATATGTGTATTTTTATTTTGTATATACCAACATTTTTGTCTGAATAGAAAATTTATAATAAATACATGCTGAATAATATCTGACCTTATGTGGAGCGGATCAAAAACCCTTAACCATGTTGACTTGCCCAGTTGGGAGATGGATCTGTCCTTCAATACTCAGCTATACCCCATCTGCCCCATCCACATCAACCCAGTGCGAAACGAAAATATACATGTATGATTGTATGATTTGCCCAAGCACGGCAGTCTGACTAAAGCACGACATCCTAGCATTTTTAAAAATACCATCAACAGCAAATAATCAAAAATCTTTGATAAAAACATGAAAAATTAAAAGAAAAAAAAGTATAATTTGGTTTTTAGCTCACCTGAGCCAAAGGCTCAAGTGAGCTTTTCTGATCAAAATTTGTCCGTTGTCTGTCGTTGTCGTCGTCGTCGTCGTTGTCGTTGTTGTAAACTTTTCACATTTTCATCTTCTTCTCAAGAACCACTGGGCCAATTTCAACCAAACTTGCTACAAAGTATCTTTGGGTAAAGGGGATTCAAGTTTGTTCAAATGAAGGGCCACACCCTTTTCCAAGGGGAGATAATTATGAATTAGAGAAAAAAATAATGGCATTTTTAAAAAATCTTCTTCTCAAGAACCACTGGGGCAGGAAAGATGAAACTCATGTGGAATCATCCTCAGGTAGTGTAGATTCAAATTTGTTCAAATCATGACCCCCCGGGGGTAGGGTAGGGCCAAAATGGCCGATCAAGGTTTTACATAGGAATATATAGGAAAAATCTTTTACTCAAAAACCACTTGGCCAGGAAAGATGAAACTCATGTGGAATCATCCTCAGGTAGTGTAAATTCAAGTTTGTTCAAATCATGACCCCCTGGGGTAGGGTGGGGCCAAAATGGCCGATCAAAGTTTTACATAGGAATATATAGGAAAAATCTTTAAAAATCTTCTCCTCAAGAACCACTTGGCCAGGAAAGATGAAACTCATATGGAATCATCCTCAGGTAGTGTAGATTCAAGTTTGTTCAAATCATGACCCCCGGGGGTAGGGTGGGGCCAAAATGGCCGATCAAAGTTTTACATAGGAATATATAGGAAAAATCTTCTTCTCAAGAACCATTGAGACAGGAAAGATGAAACTCTTGTGGAATCATCCCCAGGTAGTGTAGATTCAAATTTGTTCAAATTTGTTCAAATCATGACCCCCGGGGGTAGGGTGGGACCAAATGGCCGATAAAAGTTTTAAATAGGAATATATAGGGAAACCTTTTAAAATCTTCTTTTCAAGTACTTCAAAGCCATGCTTAGTGATATTTATAAGGAATCATCCTCAGGTAGTGTAGATTCTAGTTTGTTCAAATCATGACCCCCTGGGGGGTTAAAATTCAAGCCCCCTCCCCCCCCCCCCTCCCCGCCCTCAGTAAACTTTCAGTTCTGATCTGATATGTGCTTTTTTCTAGCCAATTGCTCAGGTGAGCGATGTGTTAATTGTTATCTTCATATTTACACATCCTGATTCTCGTTTTATAACTTCCTTAATACTGGCAAAATTTGATCTCTCCATTACTGTCAGACTGCTTCAAGGAAGGAGGACAGGTCTTATCTTATTTGTGAAATGAATAGAAAAAAATTCAACTATTTAGGCCAGGTAAAATTAATCTTTAGATTCTCATCCTAATTTGCAAAAAAATTGGGGCGGGTGGGCGGATTTTATTTTTTATTTTTTATAATTGTTAATTTATATATAGGCCTAAGTATCAACAAAACAATGGACGCCCCGTACACATTTTTTCATTACCTTAATGCAAATATGAATATATTTAATTCTTTTCATATTCTTTTAAATATTTAAAGAAAATTTTTGCTTTAAAAGTTAAATATTTATTGTTAATTAACAAATTATCAAGTACACATTATACGGCACACCCTGAACAAAATGAGGTGGGGATACCAATAAATTGTGTATGCGTGACTTCTTATTTTGCAAAATCTATATAAATGTTCTAATAATTATTCTACTGAAAAATCTAGGCCTTCTCTTAAGTCTGTCTACGATGTTGTAGATTTTTTTTTATTTCAAAGCTAAGTCACACAGCTGGAGATCGTTATATATAACTTGACCAGGTGTCATTTTCCTCGTCTATTTTTACTTAGTAACAATCTCTCTACATACTTGCTCCTGCCAGTGATGGTATCTATATGTGTTTATGCTATTTTTTCTTCTCTGCCTTCTCTATACTGACAAATTATCTTTTCCTTACACATTTAAACTGCTTTTATTGCCGATTTTTCTCCATTCTTCAATTGGCGTTTTTGCTATAAATAGCGACACGCGACTTTTAATACAGACGGGAGATAACTCTTAAACTTTGACCCAAATTCTTACTGAATAAAAATACATGAAAATACTCAAAAAATCAAAATAAAATACATCGGGGCGGGACATTTTGAGAGGGGCGGGCGGGGATGAGAATCTAAAGATTAATTTTATATGGCCTTATTTATTAGCACAAAATATTATTAAAGTTTAGTGTGGATGTTTTATTACTTGTTGTCTTTCGAGGGGGCGTGGGTGTAGATGTACTCAATTCAATTCAATTTCTTTATTGATTCACCAAACATGTTGGCATACAACCATGTTATATACAAAAGACAAATAACAAAATACATACATGCAAGTGTATGGATCAGTGAAGTCAACTGTGATGTGTATTATAACTTGAAGATTAAAAATAATCATTATGCAAGCAGTATAGTATGGACAGTGATGAGCTGAAAAAATGTATTAAATATATATATTATAATTGCGCTTTAATTTTGGAACGCAATTCAAAACATTCATATAAAAATTCATATAGCTTTCTAGAATCAACTGCATTGTCAGGATTACAAAATACTTTACAATGATTTTCTTTCAATATGTTATCATTTAAATTACAGATGTTCAAAGGACAGTACTTTTTTCGCAAATCTATAGATAAGGAACAGTCATATATGAAATGTATTTCACTTTCTACAACAGTTTTACAATAGTGACAAAAGCGAGATTCTTTTGGGATACAAGGCTTTGTATAGCTGCCAACTTCAATTTCTAAAGGATGTGCAGAAATTCTCAGTTTTGTTAATTTAGAACATATAGCTTTATTTATTGAATAATTTAAGTAGTCTTGTAATTCATAATTCTTTCTAATTTGACTGAAAAATAATAATTTACCACATTTGGAGAATTCAATGTTCTGAAGTTGCAAATTAACATTTTTTATGTAAAAATTCTTCAAGCAGCTGCTACTCAGGCACGTAGCAACAGGGGGGGGGGGGCCTGGTCCCTCACTTTTTTTCCCAACATCACATACTATATACGAAAGGTTTATTAAAAATGTTTGTTGGCCCCTCAACTTTTTATAATGTAAGAGAGAGTATTAAAAAATGTTACTGGAAGAAAATTGGCATAGAAGAAAATTTGGCACCCCCCCCAACCCCCCCGAAATAGGATTTTCGACATCGGGAAACTTTTCTCTCCCCCCCCCCCCCCCTTTTTTTTTTTTTTGCTTGTCAACTTTCTCAGATAAGAAAAAAAAATTCTGGCTGCCCCCCCCTTTCATAAACGATGCTCTGTGGCTGGTACTTGCGTGTGTTTAATTACGCCCATGCATGTAACCACTCGACACGTACCCTGAAGTCTTGCTTTTATCCGGATCTTATCCATTTCGGTTCGACATTTACTTTGCGCGACCCGATTTCACAATAACCAAAATATTGTCAGTTACATTGCTTAATAGTCTCATCTTGAGCAATACCTCGAAGATTGTCGAAGATGGGGAACATAAACACTGTTGGACCAAATGAAGCACTAATTATTTCAGGTAAATTTATTTTTAGGCTTCTCAAATTTGCAAATTTTGAATGCTACATTGTCGACATACTCAGTGAGATAGCCATGATGAATGCAGTTCCGGTATTGTGTTACAATGACCCAGCCCATTCAGCAGCTGCATTTCGTTGGTCTTAAACCCAAGCATAAATTGCTATTCTCAATGTCTTTGTTTATGACTTATTATTCTCACTATTTACAACTAATTAGCAACCTGATAACGTGACCACTTTTAGTTTTACGTCGTAGTAACTCGGTCAGAGTCGGTGCAGCATTATCATTCACCTGTTCACATGGTGCGGCAGATCGAAAATAGGCAAATTTTTAACTGAAGCATCATAGTATGATGATCATACATGTGTGAATGGGGTACTTTGATACAACTCACAAGTTCTTATACTTAAATATTTTTAAATTAAACCTTTGAAAATTATTAACTTTGAAATCCCTTCAGGAATTATCAAAATTAAACATTTCCATGTACTACATGTATATTGTCATGGTTATTTTAAAAAAATGTCCATGACAAATGTTAAGCTTGGATACAGTTTAAAAACTGAAATACTCTAATTTATTTATTGACAAAATTGTTATTTTGTCACAGTGGGAAAGAATATCAAACTTGAATATTCTCATGATTCTGTGACAGAGTGAAAAAATACTTGAAATGTTTCAAAACTCCAGATTTTTCTTCCCTTCACAAAGAGTATTACTGTAATAATCAGAAAATTCAATGTACAATTAAGTAAGACAGATTTTTCTTATATATTCACTCATTCCTAACACTTGTGAATCCTGTATCACTTAATTGTGAAGTAAATTTAAGATTAAACTTCAAAACACTGAAATCCTATAATTATTATAAAACAGGAGGATGCTGTGGCTCCCAGGGGAGGAAAACCATTGTTGGAGGATGGGGCTGGTCATGGTGTTTAGTGACCGATGTTCAGAGGTAAGACATTTAACATAACCACTGATAATGTGATATTAACATAACAACTACTGATAAATGTGATATTAACTCTTTTCCCCTTAGACCTTTCCCTCCTTTACCCCTTAATGACGAGTTTTGACGCACGTGTATTTCGTTGTTGATTTGACTTGAAATTACCGCTTGTTTACAAATTATCAGAGCACAGGTGGCCACCTGCAGGTTAACAATAGATGATTGCATCATACTACAGTTAGAAATCATGTGATTTACCTGTGTAAACAAACAATAGAATCTTGGAAAGTCCCACCAAAATTCAAAATTGCCGGACTGTTACATACGATGTTTTTTGAGCATATAACTCAGTAAATACGCAATATTTTTTCATCCAGTAAAGCATTTCATGAAATTAAGGCTATAAACTACCTATTTCTTGAAAGGTTTGAAAATTATAACGATCTATATGTGTAATATACTCCAACATAAGTTACGAAAATTTCGTGAAGTTCGGGACCGCGCAGTGCCGATTTCGTCACCTGTTTCTCACAAATTCAGAAGATACCTTCCATTTTACACATATTTATTAATGTAAAGGTGTAGAAAATAATTATTTTAATAGAATTGGATCATTAGAGTATCCAAAAACGTTCAGAAATCAAGTTTTAGGACGCAAGTCTGAAAATTTGTCGGCGAGATTGACATTGAAGAAGCACTACAATTTATTAATTTCTGAGTAATTAAACTTATAAAACTGATAATAAATAATAATTTAACCATCAATTATATCATCACACATGTTTTTTATTATTTATACAGACAATTTGGCTTATTAAAGCCGTTTTACTTGTTGAAAATATCTAATTTTCTATTTACACCTGCTTTCACCTGAATTATTTTTTAACAGAAATTTCCGATCGAAATTATGTAAAAAGATTTGAAAAATTTAATTTATTACGAATCCAATGATATATAATAAATGATATAAATGAAATATTTTGACCCTTAATAGTTCAGTTTTAAACTGCACTCCAAGTCATCTAAAACGCTCTAAGGGGCAGCCAGGCAAACACTCTAAGGATATGGCCAGTGCGTCAAATCGTGGCATTAAGGGGTAAAGAGTTAACATAACAACTACTGATAATGTGATATCACTAACATGTAATTTAACAAAACAACAGTTACTACTGGTAATGTGATATCTCTAACCTAAAATGAAGGATAGATTTCTGTTACTGGGACAAGAATGTTAAATTACATGTATCTTTAACTTGGCAACTATTGGGTCAACATCCTGCCTTGAACAGGCTGACAGTAGCCGGCAATTGCTCTTTGAGCAATAAGCCCGGCTATAAATATGTTGTAGTTTAAATCTTTTATTAGACCATGATCTTAGTATATATATTTGTATGTACAAAAAATTTTCTCCATCACCATGATCACATACCAGTCTGGATAATGGTAAAATACAATTGTTAAAGTCAGATTAAATCATTTCATCAGAATTAAGTTAAAAAGTAGACTCTCAAATTATACAAATCTTAAAATTATTTCAGGATATCCTTAGAGGTCATGACCTTGAACCCTGTGTGTGAGAGTGTAGAGACCTCTGAGGGTGTGCCAGTTACTGTGACAGGGGTCGCCCAGGTCAAGATCATGAAGGAACCCGAGCTTCTGAAGACTGCCTGTGAACAGTTCCTGGGGAAAAGTGTCCATCATGTTGAATCAGTCATTCTGCAGACATTAGAGGGTCATCTCAGGTCAATTCTTGGTATGTATCACAGTATGACTGCATGTTTGCCCTCTCCCAACCAACTAGCTAAAAATGACCCAAAACTTTTTTTTAACCTGTGAAAATGATAGTTTCTTCTATGAATTTTCAAACTGTCTCAATCAACAAGAATGTTGAAATTATTCCAGAATAATTTTTTCCTTCACAACTGACTTCCGAACTGACCCAATTTTTATGCCCTTAGTCAGGAGAGGGCAAACAAACATTATTTTAAAGATTGCCCAGTATAAATTAATCTTTTTAGCTCACCTGAGCCGAAGGCTCAAGTGAGCTTTTCTGATCACATTTTGTCCGTCGTCCGTCCGTCCGTCTGTCCGTCTGTCTGTCTGTCTGTCCGTCCGTCCGTCTGTAAACTTTTCACATTTTTGACTTCTTCTCAAGAACCACTGGGCCAATTTTGACCAAACTTGGTACAAAGCATCCTTGGGTTAAGGGAAGTATAAATTCTTAAGATGAAGGGCCAATTCCACTTACAAGGGGAGATAATCAAGAAAAGACAAAAATAGGGTGGGGTCATTAAAAAATCTTCTTCTCAAGAACCACTGGGCCAGGAAAGCTGAAACTTATGTGGAAGCATCCTTGGGTAGTGTAGATATTAAATTGTTAAAATCATGACCCCCGGGGGTAGGGCGGGGCCACAATAGGGAATCCAAGTTTTACATAGAAATATATAGAACAAATCTTTAAAAATCTTCTTCTCAAGAACCACTGTGCCAGGAAAGCTGAAACTTGTGTGGAAGCATCCTTGGGAAGTGTAGATATTAAATTGTTAAAATCATGACCCCCGGAGGTAGGGCGGGGCCACAATAGGGAATCCAAGTTTTACATAGAAATATATAGAACAAAGCTTTAAAAATCTTCTTCTTATAAACCACTGGGCCAGGGAAGCTGAAACTTATGTGGAAGCATCCTTGGGTAGTGTAGATATTAAATTGTTAAAATCATGACCCCCGGGGGTAGGGCGGGGCCACAATAGGGAATCCAAGTTTTACATAGAAATATATATAGAAAAATCTTTTAAACTCTTCTTCTCAAGAACCAGTGGGCCAGGAAAGCTGAAACTTATTTGGAAGCATCCTTGGGTAGTGTAGATATTGAATTGTTAAAATCATGACCCCCGGGGTAGGGCGGGCCACAATAGGGAATCCAAGTTTTCCACAGAAATATATAGAACAAAGCTTTAAAAATCTTCTTCTTATAAACCACTGGGCCAGGGAAGCTGAAACTTATGTGGAAGCATCCTTGGGTAGTGTAGATATTAAATTATTAAAATCATGACCCCCAGGGGTAGGGTGGGGCCACAATAGGGAATCCAAGTTTTACATAGAATTATATAGAACAAATCTTGAAAAATCTTCCTCTCAAGAACCACTGAGCCAGGAATGCTGAAACTTATGTGAAGCATCCTTTGGTAGTGTAGATATTGAATTTTTAAAATCATGACCCCCCGGGGAAGGGCGGGGCCACAATAGGGAATCCAAGTTTTACATAGAAATATATAGAACAAATCTTTAAAAATCTTCTTCTCTAGAACCACTGGGCCAGGAAAGCTGAAACTTATGTGGGAGCATCCTTGGGTAGTGTAGATATTAAATTGTTAAAATAGTGACCCCCCAGGGGTAGGGCGGGCCACGATAGGGAATCCAAGTTTTACATAGAAATATATATAGAACAAATCTTTAAAAATCTTCTTCTCAAGAACCACTGGGCCAGGAAAGCTGATACTTATATGGAAGCATCCTTTGGTAGTGTAGATATTAAATTGTAAAAATCATGACCCCTGGGGGTAGGGCGGGGCCACAATAGGGAATTCCAAGTTTTACATAGGAAAATATAGAACAAATCTTTAAAAACCTTCTTCTCAAGAACCACAGGGCCAGGAAAGCTGCAACTTACGTGGAAGCATCCTTGGGTAGTGTAGATTCTAAAGTTTTAAAATAAAAAAGGGAAGGGGGTTGTTGGGCATGATAGGTATAGCAAGAGGGAGAATCTGGTAAAGATTTGCATCACCTAAGGTACTCAGGTGAGCGATGTGGCCCATGGGACTCTTGTTTTAATAAATTTAATGACTGATCTCTAAAATATGTGTGTAATATTGTCCAGGTACTTTGACTGTGGAGGCAATTTACCAGGACAGAGATCAGTTTGCTCAGCTGGTGAGAGAGGTTGCTTCCCCTGATGTGGGTAAGATGGGGATTGAAATTCTGAGCTTTACCATCAAAGACATCAGTGATAGAGTGGAGTACCTGACGTCACTTGGACGAGCCCAGACTGCCAATGTTAAGAGAGACGCTGATATTGGTGTAGCAGAGGCTAACAGGGATGCTGGAATTAGGGTAATATACATTTATTCCTGAAACTTTTCTAAACTAAATCACAGTGTCATTGAATGTTTCCTTACTTCAATACAAGTTCAAACCATTTTATTTGGTAGTACATCATGGTTTTGTTTGTTTTTATTCATAAATGTGTGTGTTTAGGTAATATTTTTGAAATTTTTAGGCCTTAAAACTTCAGTAAAATATGTTTTAGGTAGGGCTGTCACGGGTACCCGAAATGACCCGGAACCGCGGAACAATTAATTCGGGTTGGGTACGGTTCCGTTTTTCCGGAATTCGGTTCGGTTCCGATTTGTATAATAGAGTAGATTCTACTATAAAAATGGTGTCAAAAACGAGAGATTGGTTAGTACATTGTCATTATAAGGTGATTTAAATAATTTGGTACAATTGTTGTCTAGTCAGGAGGCTAGTTTAAACTGGTTATAATGTTGCAATTTCTAAGATTAAATGAAAATATTCTTTTTATTGTTGAAAATAATACAAATCATGAGCTTTTCTTCCATTACCTACCCGACCCGAGAAACCCGAAACCGAAAACCTAAGAAAATCAGAACCGACCCGACCCGAAAAATTTTGGAACCGTGACAGCCCTAGTTTTAGGACAAAGATGGTTTTGTTAAAATCAAGCTTAACTCATAGTTATTTAGTGTTTCTTAGATTCTTATCGATGTACAATTGTAGGCTATATAGTAGGTATAAAGTGACCATGAAATTGTGAAGTCCCTTTTGAATGTAATTATGGCAATGATATGATATAAAAAATATACATTTCTTAACCAAAATATGTCAAAGAAATTTTCTTCTTCTCAATAATCAGGTTACATGTGTGTGACTGTTGTTTTTAAAACAGGAGGCAGAGTGTGACAAACAGCTGATGGACACCAAGTTCCAGGCAGACACAAAGATTGCCGACTCTTCTAGACAGTACCAGATGATGAAGGCCTCGTTTGATATGGAGGTCAACGCAAAGGTTGGTGAAAATATTTTAGTTAAAAACAATTTCTGTCAATCAACAGATCATCATACATGTAACTAAATTTTGAGTCAGAAAGAGTCTGATTGTTTAAGACTATTAAAGACACATCTATCATCCATTAGGGTTTTTTGGCATTGTGTTAATGTTTTGACAAAATGATAACCTGCGTATTACAGAAAGCTGAGGCGGAGTTGGCTTATCAGCTGCAGGGAGCGCGTGAGAGACAGAGGATCCGCCAGGAGGAGATTGAGATAGAGGTGGTGGAGAGGAGGAAGCTGATCGACGTGGAGGAGAAGGAAATCCTCAGGAAGGAGAAGGAACTGATCGCCACCGTCAAACGACCAGCAGAGGCCCAGGCCTACAAGGTGGAACAGCTGGCCGAAGGTCAAAGGTTAGTATTAATTGTTACAAAGGTTTGTAATACATGTATCTGTGTTATAACTAGTTCATGTATTTGTGTGTATTCATGTATTCATAAGATGAAGATGTTTTATAAGGGAGGTAACTCTTAAAGTCCTTTACTATTGTTGATTTACTTGATTAGATGCACACATGATTGATGAAAAAGTATACTGGAAAATATAAGCATTGTACCTTGTAATAACATTAGGTTTTGCAATTATTCCTTCAGAAGTTTAATGAGGATTTAATGTACAACCTTTCTTTTTTTGAAACATTTAAGGGAAGAAGTTTGTTTTGAATAGAGACTTTTACTTTATTCATTTCAAATGAAGAGGAAGTGGTGTAAGATGCATGTGTTATAAAAAATGCTTATTATAATAATATGTATATTTCTTTAAAATATTCTGTGTATGCTGGTAATTTGTTATACACAAAGTATTTAACTTTTTGAGGGAACTTTAAGTTTGGCATCAATCTTGCTACTGAACAAGACTGTCTTGAAAGCTTATTATGGGAGTGTATGTAAAATGTGTGACTTTACATGAGACTGTATCACTCTGTAGGAGACAGACAGTGGAGGTGGCACACGCCGAGGCTGAGAGAATCCGTCTGATTGGTGGATCGGAGGCAGGTGCTATTGAGTGTGTGGGTAAAGCAGAGGCAGAGAAGATGAGACTGAAGGCCTCGGCCTACAAACAATATGGAGAAGCCGCCATGTTATCCCTGGTTCTGCAGACTCTGCCAAAGGTAAGATACAGCACCACAATGGAAATATTTTGTGTTTTTTATGAAGTTAGTCAACTTGAGCCACATAATTCTGTGATAACCTAAAAAAATAAATTCCTTCACGCAGATTGCTGCTGAGGTGTCGGCCCCTCTTGCTAAGACAGATGAGATAGTGATGGTTGGAGACGACAGAACTACCAGTGAAGTGAGTCGACTGGTGAGCCAGCTACCTCCTGCTGTACAAGCCCTCACAGGAGTGGATCTCTCTAAGGTCAGAATACACCAATATCATAATGTAAAGTCCTTAACATTTAGTTAATGTCTGTACGTGAGGACAAGTAAAGATTTTTACGTAGTGGCAACTTAACATGTCCAGCAAGTGTAGATTCAATCAAATGTTTTCAACCACAGTGAAAATTTATGCGTCTTGGTTGGTGGGATGCACAGTTATTTCAAACTCTGTTCAAGAATTTAAACCCATGACTGTATTCACTACATTTTAATGTGTATGACAAAGTCATTTTATAGGATCAGTCAATAAAATAATAGTATACCATTAAATTTAATAGATACACATTAAAATTACATAAATTTTGTTCATTCATATAGGTGATAAATGATCTTGATGCAACTATGATATACCCCGGTAGTTTAACTCTAACTTATTTTACCTATTTTAGCATTTGCTTACATTTTGTTTTTGCAGGTTGTGGGTAAAATCCCAGGTGCCACATCATAGAAGTTGTGTGTTTCTGAATCCCTGCATGCATGACAATGGGGCAATTAACAAAGACCCATTGTGGACATCGTGTTACTGTGTAGATTTCTTTTTTACACACACTGACAGTCCATCGATTAACCGCTAGCAGCATATTTAAACAGTCATATTGTCTGCATAACTACACATATTCATCATAAGGGCTTTAGTAAACTTGTGTTAAAATTATATTTCCATTAATTCTATACTAGTCATTAAAAGTTTTTTTTATTAATTTATGGGATTAATTTCTTAAAGAAATGACTTCAAAACATCTGCCTTATGAATCGGGGTGTGCTCAATTGTTTTTTAGTGTGGTGGTAAATTTTTGATTTATTTTACGAAGGGTTAGTGAAATAACGGAAGAACTAAATACATGTTCATGTAGGTAGAGAGGAATGTACATGTTAATGTATACTAAGCATAATGCTGCTTATACTCCAGTGAAATCGTTCCATACAAGCTGCTAACCAGGGCTTTGGTATGAGATGTAAATCAGTACTGGCAGCTATTGTCCTATTTTAACTAATTCTTTGTTGTTTTTTACTTTGTCTTAGTACATTACTGTACTTGTATTTTAAACACTTGTATTTTTGATGTACTGTTTGAGCATTACTTGGTTTTTAAGAGTAACAGTTCATATGAAATAAGCACTTTTTTGTCAATTTGAAAACTATGAATTTAACATATCCAACACAATGATAATATATTCAGCACAGTCCTATAGATAGATGTATTTGTTTCCATACACTGTGATACCTGGATTTATCACTTAAAAATCGAAATTATGTTAAATCAATAGCTTGAAAATTATGGATTCTGGACATTTTGTTTTAACAGATTCCTTCTTAATATCCACTGAACAAAAACCTTTTCAGGGGGTATTTTTAAAATAAAATCTTTTTATGATCCAAAACCATTACATTTTATTTGTTATCAGGCAATTATTTGTCCATTGTATAGATACCCACCTACATGTGTAGATCATACTAGATTTATCTGTGTATGTTGTAACTTAAGCAATATTATTTAGCAAACCATAATACTATTGCATATTTATAATGGTATTCATTGTACTCATTAGCATACCTTTCAAATAAAGTTTTATGAAATGTGAATACAATGTATTCTTTATAAATTCTGCCAAAAGGACTGTCAGAAAAGATCCTCTGGCCAGAGGACTCAGAAATGCATCCTCACAATGTAAGGAGTCCTGGCGCAATGTGTAGGCACAGAAATGAAAACTTTTCTGTTATTTGAAGGCCATTTTTTTCACCGCGAAGCATCAATCAAAAAAGCATTCAAAAGCTGAAATACTGTAAATACCCTTGTTCTAATGTGGATATACCATCTCATGGAGACATGGAATTCATACAAAAATGAATCCCACCGTATGACTTGCATGATAAAAGAGTGTTCTAAAGTTATAAGCACCTGTGATGAGTTATTGCTTTGAAAACTGTGATAGAAGTTTATATGGACAGACACATGGATAAACAAAATGTTTACATAAGATTTTTAAAAAAGTAATCCCATCATAAGGCATGCCTAAAAAAAGTGTGCCCATGGGCCACAACACTCATTAATCTAAGAGTATAGTGTTGTAGTAACAAGCATACCTATTTAGCTCCATTAAACATGTTGAACCCTATGATAAAATTAAAATACATGACCATATGCAAAATAGAAAAATTATGCTATTTCTATAAATTAAAAACGTAGGAGGAACCAATGACAGAAATGATAGATAGGGATAATATCAATATGTCTGGTCATGAGATTTCTTGAAAATATGGATAACAAGAGATGTTTGTAAAACACTTGTGCCCCCCTCCCCCCAAATTGGAATTTTTCCAAGTCCAAAAGGGCTAACTCAGTCAAAAATGGTGCAATTGTACCCAAAATGAAACTTGACCAAGATATTTATCTGATAAATCTGTAAAAATTTCATGTATGTGCAACCTCTGCGATAAAATGAACGGAAACTGCAAATAATTGGAATTTTTCTATGGGACATAACTCTGACATGGATAAACAAAATGTAGATTTTCATATATATTTTTACCAAAAAGTATGTGCAACGGTAAAGAAAATGAACAGAAACTGCAAATAATTGAAATTTTTCTACGTGGGGCATAACTCTGTCAAAAATGGTAATCTAAAAACAGAACTTGGCCTAGATATTCATGTGATATATTTGTATACCAAATTTCATTTCAGTATGTGCAACAGTTGCAAACAAAATGAACGGAAACTGAAATAATTGAAATTTGTCTAAAATACATAACCAGAAATATGCAAAATAGAAAAATATTTATGTGATATATCTGTAAAAATTTCATTTCAAAATGGTTGTGAAGAAAATGACAGAAATGATAGATAGGGATAATATCAATATGTCTGGTCATGAGATTTCTTGAAAATATGGATAAAAATAATTTTCACTTGAATGTCTGCAAATAATACAATACATAAAACAAAAAGGTTTTTCATAAAATTTTATTTTGTGACAAAATCATTTACATATACTCTGATGTACATGTAGATTTTATGACTTAAATAAAAGTTTTACAAGTTCACATTCATGATTCTTGGAATATGTATATCTTTATTCATTAAAAAAAAAGAAATATGAAATCTTCATTTACCACAGTCTGTATGAATGATGAAACACTTAAAAGATTAAGATGAAATGTACAGTGTTTGCTAGCTCTGAAGGGATTCATACACACATTTATACATAAATATAATCATGATAATAAGGTTACAAATTATAGTGAAGGTTTCTTTTTAACACTTCCAGATCCTGGATTACAATACTCTGCCAATCCATGTCAATACAGATTGTTCATTCACCTCACATTCCTGGGGAAGACAAACTCTTCTCCATAAACTTTCTCTTGGCAAAACACAGCCACCACTGAAAAAGATCAAGGTTTATTTAGACACATCATATGGAGTAGATACCTATAGAACCACATCCCACAAATTGTGTGACATGATGTGCCACCTTCTTACGTACATGCACACATAGTTTTCCTGACTTTGTTTATAAGTACTTGTAAAACATCATTGCAATAAATCTACATCATGTTGTGTTTTCAATCGCTTTACATGTTTATACAATTGTTTGCAATTTAATTTTAATGAATCAGAGACCTATAGAATCACATCACTTTGCTGAATTTTGCTCAGTAATTTTAAGTACATGTGAATAGTTTTCAGCAATTTGGTTCTTATAAAACAGTGGCTATATAGAATTACATTATACAATGTTATGTGGTACCTTGCTTGGTTTGTCATCCTGTTCAAAGACTTTTTCTATCATCCTCAGTCCCGTCTCTTGTCTTATCTGCAGTAGGTAGTTTCTCATTGTATCTAAAAACAAAAAGCAAAGTCAAAGTAGCTAACATAGCATTATGTTTTATATTTCAACATCTATAAACACATGTGCATTTCAAGTGCAGCAGTATCATCATATTGATTAGCTGAAAACATGCACTACCCATCTTATTAACTTTGTTATTCTGATTAGCCATTTGTACACAAACCACTTTGCTCTCTTTTTCAATCTTGAATGATTTAAAAAAATTTCAAACTATTTTATCCAAGCTGACTAAAGCAAAAAAAAAAAATATTTTGATGCACAGTGCTCAAATATACATTCAGATTTAATGTAAAATTAAGTACAGTTAATTCTCGATAAATCGCCACCTTTTGTAATTTAGAAATCATGGCGGTATAACGAATTTGGCGATGAATTGAATTTCCCATCTTCTGGAAAACAAGATGTAGAGTAGAAATACCATTTAGCGTTTCTATTATTATTACATGTACATGTATGTAAAAACGTATTTCTGATTGAAAATACTTCAAGTAATTTTTTTAAAGTACAAATTCGATAAAACAAAATGTGCAGTTACGAAATAAAGACAAGTACATGGGTGTGAATTTAAATCTAAAGTTCTGTTATTGAAAAAAGAAACATGCTAGGTCGATCATCGTGATATATTGCCAATAGTAAGTAAAATGAATTCTTTAATAAATTTATTGTTTATGGCAACATTGTTAATTAAACATTCACAATTTATGCTTAAAATTATTTTTTTCAGCAAATTTTGCATTGTTTAAAGCAGAGATCATCTAAATAATATAGTTATCGGCGTACTTTAACAACAATCGCTTTCGTGGCAAAGCCGTGACTAAATGATTCCTATTAAACAGAAAACAAAATTATTATAACAGTTCATGTTGATATTATTGTTTATTTAATTTGTACTTACATGTACCTTGACTGGCTTTGCTCTCTTACAACAGGGATAGTGTCAATTAGCTTTACTGACCACACGCACCTGTGGCGGTAAAAAATTTTCAAAATGGACGTTAGTTGTGAAAACAGGGTGGCGGATAAAATTTGGCGTTATAAAGAGAATTTTATAAGCAGGAAAAACGTTTTGAAATCATGGCGGTATTGCGAAAATGGCGATGAATCGAATGGCAATAATTCGAGAATTGACTGTACAGTTGAATAACAAAGAAATAGTGGTGATGACAAAACTTAAAAGAATGTTTGAATTTCTTGGTGAATTTAATTTATTTCTTGAAATGACTATATAGTATTATAAATAACTTTAATGTTGTACCTTCTTCAGCTCTGCCATTCGGCTTTGAAAACATTGCATTAAGAGGAAATTTGGGTTCTCCTGGGATTGGGAAGTTAATTAAACCTAATGTGTACATTTCTTTGGTGGCAGCTGACTTTGATGAACACTGAAAAGAACAATGACATTAAACAATATTTAAATTTTGCAGTCCTTTCCACTACTTCATTACACTTTACATGTATGCACATGGGTAGTATAGTATTTATTTTTATGTTAACAGCATTTTCCCTAGATAAGTGCTCTGTAAATGCCAAATGGTCAGCATTGTTGTTTATCACACAGTACAACTAAAATATGCTAGGGAAAGCTTGAGAAAATATATGCAGTAAAATACCCTTGTGTAAATAAATCATAAGTGGGAACTTTATCATACTGCAACAATATCTTGTAAATTTAAGATAAATTTATATCAAAATACTGCAATTATAAATGATGTTATACCTTTTGTAGCTTCTTCAGACATTCACTTATATATAATGTAATATATATTAAAGTCCTGTCAGCTTCACTCTGAAATCACAATTTAAAATATGTTTAATATTTATAGTTATCTTTCAAAACACAAACGCACACATAAACATATACAGAGTTATCCCTAGGATTGAAATAGCAGGGGACATTTCAAAGGTAGAAGGAGATTTGAGTTTTCCCCCAAACTTACTGGAAATTGACTGGGAATACCAGAACAACCAATGGATTATGTCATTATAGGTGGAGAAATATTCCTGGTGCAGGTAGTAGGGACAACCCTGCATACATTATTATTTTACATTATACTTGTATAAAATAGCCGTCTTTCAAGTCTTCATATCTTCAGAATTATCAAAACTTATTTGTACGGTACATAAGAAGTAAAACAGAAAAAATAAATTTCTAATAGAATCACCAATATATAAACTCAGCTTACTCTTACCTTTATTTCATAATTTCTGAAGAATATGTTAGCTTTGAAGTAGTAAATTGCCTCATCAATGATGTCAAAATCTGAAGCTGAAGAGGGAAATAAATCAAAATAAAGTTTTACAGTAAATTTAGTCAGTAAACATGGTTAATGAAAATTCCTCCAATTCTAATTCATAAATAACAACACTTACAATCTTTAGGGGCGGGACCCTTGTATGTTGTCCTTAGAGGCATAAGAGCCATGTTTCCAATCAGTTTTGGGGGATCGGTGAATTTGGAATGATACGCCTATCAAGTAGAAAATATTAAGATTTTTAATTCAATGTTCAAAGTTAAGTAAATTTTAGGGAGAAAATGTGCTTTTAACGACATAACTATGATAATTTATGTTACAAAACGTCCTTTTACCGGCATGATTATATTAGCAACTGGTTTAACTTTGTCCAAAGCAAATTATTTTTCCGTCTGAATTCCACCCTTCTTCCGCATAGGGCCGCAACTATCAATAACAATAAGAGACAATAATTTTAAAGAGTAAACGTTCATAATATCATACATATTTCTTATAACCATTTCGAATTTATACAAATACTTTATACACAAAGTTACATGAAAGAAATCAAAGCTAATATTTAATTTCAAAATTTATTTTTACAAGCATAAGCGATATCCTCAGATTCATAATCATTTCTGCGTTTCCGATTTTGATACCCCATTACATTTATAAACAGAAGCTTAAAAATGACTTTGATTCAAGACAGCATTGGCAAATGGAATGTAAACACTAAAACAGAAAATCATTTAATTTCTTTTTACTAAAAAAAAACAAAACAAAAAAATGCCTCGATACGGACAGCTTGTCATGGGTCCAGCAGGTAGTGGAAAGGTAACATATTTTTTATCGTAGGAGATACCCTACATCTGTCAAAGTTCAGAAATTATGAACATGATGAAAGGAAAAACAACTACCTAATAGGCTAATTTTTGTTTCTCTCTTTCAGTGATAATCTTGTTGGACTGACCATTTCAGAATAACTAATCTCAAGAACGTTTTCTTTCAGTCTACTTACTGCAGCAATATGGTGAAGCATGCTGAAATGCTGAGGAGAACAATTCATGTGGTGAATCTGGACCCTGCAGCTGAACATTTTGATTACCCTGTACTTGCAGGTACAATAATTGATTTATTATACATTAATGTTTACTGATGAAGGACCAGGGGCTGACAAATAGATTTTTCAAGCACTTGCCCATGGGCAAGTGCATGGTCAAATTCCACTTGCCCTACTTCAATTTTTACTTGCCCAACCAGCACTTTATATTCATCATAATGAATTAATTTGTCTCTAAATCAAAAAAATTTGCAGCCTAGGATTGTTGTTTTGAATATTGGCGACATTTAAAACCACCTGCCATTAAGTACTAAGTACCATACAATCTGTTGATTGATTGTATGCTGTTTTACGTCCCGTTCGAGAATTTTCCACTCATATAGAGACGTAAAATTGCTATCATATTTCAGCTATAGTCATGATATCTGCTATTTGTTTAAAATAATGGTTTTGGACCTTTGTTTTTTCTTTTCTCATACCTGGTATGCTTAGACGGTTTTGTACTGAGTTTTTCACTAACATTGTTATGGACGATGTACTTATCATCGGCTTTCGATCGTTTTCTGCCTTATAACTGTCAAAACTTTCTTATATCTCCAATGCCAATTTGTCACTTTCAATTAAGTACAAATACATGTACTTAAAACTTTTGGTAAAACTTGTAATGAATTGCATAATGATGACACAATTAAACTGGTTCGCATACGAAGTGTAACAAACAAAGGGAGATAACTCTTACAACAAAATAATTTCAATTTCGTGGAAAACTATGACATTTTTATAAATATTTATTGATAGATTTTTTTTTAAAGTCACTTGCCCACGGGCATGTGCCTATTAAAAATTCACTTGCACACCTCTAAAATTCACTAGCTCTGGGCGTCGGGCAATGGGATTTGTCAGTCCCTAATGCAGTACATTATTTTTCTAAAACATCTGCATTTTATGGTTGCAAGTATCATTCTCAGTTAAATTGTTTCTTTGTATTTATTTGATGTACCAGTGATGTATCATATTGTTAAACTGTCCTTAGATATCAGAGAACTCATACACCTAGATGATGCCATGGAAGATGAATCATTGAGATTTGGTCCAAATGGAGGCCTTGTATTTTGTATGGAGTGGGTATAATTTTTTTTAAATTAAAGTAAAAATTTTAAAATCTATTTTATTTTTATTTGAAAATAAAAAATAGACATACATGATAGTAATAAACTGATCTAGTAAGAGCAGGGTTTATGTGTTTTACAAAGATGTTAACATAATTTTGTTTTGAATAACTTGATAAGCTTTATTTTCACTAATTACAAACAATAATATTGACTATCTCTTCCAAGGTATTTATCGCAGAACTTTGACTGGCTACAAGAACAACTAGAAGAAGTAGAAGATGACTATATTTTATTTGACTGCCCTGGTGAGATTTACATGTAGAGACATTGCAGATCTTATGATATACAAATGTAAACAATAATATCAAATTGCTTACAGCACAACAAATTAACCAATTTAAAAAAAAATTATTTTATTTACAATGCAAGTTAACAATGCAAAATAATTTGTGAATAAAATAATTTTATGAAGGGAAAAATTACATTTTGCATCCAGACTTTTACCAATGTATTTAGGACTTGCTCACAAGCCATACATAAAGTATTGAACCAAATTTAACTCCAAAATATCCAACCTGTACGAAGAACTAAGCAGTGTCTAAGCAATCAGACTACTGAACTATAGCCTAGACCTGACCTATAGCCTTGACTGATCACTGATGCCTTGTATATTTAACTAATACTTTTATCTAGTACTTCAGGCAATTATCTAATAATTTAAACTAGTGCTTCAGACAATTCATTAATCATTTAGAAACTTACCTGGTCTTAAAGAAAAGAACATACATTTCACATGTCCTGTAGACTAGTGCTTAGTCATTTCACTAGTCCCTATTTTTAAACTGGTGCTTGATAAATATCATTTCTTGTAAAATGTATATATTTATATGTGCGTGCAAAATGTTTGTTTTGTTTTTTGCTGATTTCCCCCCTTGTTTGTAAAACTTATTTTTTTGTCATTTACTATTGAATAAATGACATTTTCATTCTCATATATATTTGTCCTGTCGTATTTGAAATAGAATTCTGAGCAAAACAAAGCTGCAGTGAGCTGCATGTATCTAGGAAATAGTGAGAGACATAAATGTTATTGTTGTAATCTGCACCATAAATAGTAAATTTCCCAGTTTTGATAATTTTTGTGTTTACTGAATTGTAGGTCAAATAGAGCTCTATACACATATCCCTGTGATGCGACAGCTAGTAGAGACTCTCCAGAAATGGGACTTTCGGATCTGTGGTGTGTTTTTAGTGGACTCTCAGTTTATGATTGAGCCATCCAAGTTTATTTCAGGAATTTTAACTGCATTATCTACCATGGTGAATCTAGAGATACCACATGTCAATGTTATGACAAAGATAGATCTTCTCAGCAAAAAGGCCAAAAAAGAATTAGAGAGGTAAGGCATGAACATATAAAACTAGAATTTAGTATGCAGTAGATAACTATTTTTGCAAAGTCTTATGTTAGCTTAAAGGAAAATTCTGGCCATTAAATTCACAATTTCCAATGAACAAGTTTAAATGATTTTTTTCTTTATAGCTGAAAATTTAAATTTCCCAAATTATAAAATGCAATTGTCCATTCATGAACAAGTGTGATTATCAAATTCATTTGCATTCCATTTTAATGCACAGGTATTTAGAGCCAGAATTACCTGTATTGCTTGCAGAGGAATTTGACGACAGCAGACTAAGTAAAAAATTCAAGAAACTGAACAGCTCCATTGCCAAAATGGTAATTATTTTCAAAATTTAACTGGTGACCTTTACAATTTATTGCATTACAGATCTTATTTAGGAAGCTTATTTTTTTCACAATTTTTTAATCCTGACCCAGCTCTGACAGCCCTAACTTTCTTTTATCTAGATAGATGACTACAGTTTGGTGAAATTCCTGCCAATGGACATCAGTGAAGAAGATACCATTAATGATATTCTGATTCAAATAGACACAGCCATTCAGTATGGAGAAGATTTTGAACCTAAGGAAATACCTGTGAGTATTTGAGCTGTCTTGTTATGAAGTAAACTAATTATATTGGCTGCTTTAGACCCTTCAACCTTAAAGTCTAATATGCTGCATGTAAAGGACATGAAATCGGCAGCTTTCATTTTCCATAAAATCAATGGCCAATAATAAAGAGCAGTGGATATTAGGGTCAATGACTAGTGAATATTGAACTGATGAGTGTTGATACTAATATAGCTAACTAGTACTGATAAGGAGTGATATTGCACTGTCTAATTGCTATAACTGATAAGTGGTGATATTGGACCGATCACTAGCAATATGACTGTGTTTTATACTGATGCACCAGTGATAAATAATATAGGACTAGTAAAAATAGATTTGATTACTAGTGATATTGGACTGATGACTATTGAATGAGAAATACGCTTTGATGTAGTACATGTACTTATTATGTTCCCCAAACGGAGTTTGGGAACATATTATTATTGTTTTTACTCTGTTTCTTACTATTATTATGTTCCCCAAACGAAGTTGGGGAACATATTGTTTTTACTCTGTTTCTTCTTATTATTATTAAGGTCTTCCGTCTCCAACGGAAGACCTTCTTGTTATTCTTCGGTTTCTTTTTCCCTATTATTATTATTAAGGTCTTCCGTCTTCAAGGAAGACCTTATAGTGATTGTATTGTTTCTTATTATTCTTATTATTCTTTTTTTTGACAAAATTTTGTGCAGGCGATTTCTTGAAAACTATTCAGCGGTTTTTCATAAAACTTTCACAAAATATGTGTTATTATATGAAGTTGTTACATCCGAAGAAAAATTTGGAAAATTCGCTTCTGGTGCCAAGTTATGGACAATTTCCTGATTTTAAAATGCGATTTTGTCGCGCACTTTTATCGAAAATGGCTGATGATATGAACTGGAGACTTATTGGAGATGATAGATCATGACTTTCTGGTTTGCAGAATTACCTTTTCGTGCGTCGTCAGTACTTCCGGTCGTTACGAGATGCAAATTGAAAAAAATCGTATTTTCTAACTTTTTTGTTTTTCAGTATTTTTCATTTATTTTTTGTATGTAAATAGAAACCCTTCTAATAATGCCTACTATATAATTTGTTTGAATGCTGATAAATCTAAACTCCAGATATTAAAAATCTGAAGCGGGTCCAAAATGGCGGCTGTGTATGTCAACGCCGACATTTCGCAATAGGGGTTTACGGAGGCAGCTGAGCGTTTGCTTGAACGAAAGTAACATAAAGATAAATGAAATGTAAATGAATACTTGGATTGTCACGTCGTAGTTACGTTGCAGCTCTGTGTCAAACTAACATCTTCTATAATTGGTTTTGGCTGGTTCTCGAAGTAGAAAAAGAAAAAACTAAATGTGCAAATGAAATTCGATACCTAATATCTTTTGTGCTCCACGGAAAAACAGATCTTAAATCATACCTATAAATTTTACTTTTTCAAAAAATAATATCAATTATGTCAATATCAATATCAAATATAAATCTCAACCACTGTTTTTTCTATGCACAATTGTGTCATATTAAACTAACAATAAGACAAAAATAAGAAAACAATTTTTTTTAAAGATCGCTTCATGGACTTTATTTTAGCATTCTTGTCTCCAAGACCTGATTCAAGTTATTGCATAAATGATATCTGATTCCTTGACCGTCGTAAATGTAGGGAGAGCCATGTTTTTCGGCGAAACGTTTCAACCTTTTTCGATTAACTAATCGGGATAGTTCACTTTGGGGATAAACAGGAAATTGAAAAAAAAATTAAAAATTTATAACTGTTTCATCGCTTTAGTGTTACATGCATATATACGTACAATATGGAATTTATAAAATGTGTTACATGTAAATATACTTTCTAAACTTCGAAACGTAGGCTATAAAAACGTTTTTTTTTTATTTCATTGAAGCTACCACACCTGTTTAATAGAACATTCCAAAGAAAAGGTGCGAAGATTAACTCGTGGCATTTGGCGCTAAATTTTGAATAGTGACCCGCCTTTAAAAATTTTAAGAGAGAAGCACTGTTTCGTGAATCACATATATACAAGTAGATTTAGAGTAGAGGTCACAATAGCGTAATATTTTGAGCGTTGGAATTTCATGCTGGCGACTTGCGTTCAATCCCCCTTGTGTGCAAATATTTTGTTTTGTTTTGTTTTTTTCTCTTTTTACATTTTCAGCTCCATTTTACGTTTTCTTTCCGGAATCGGACGGAAGACCTCTCGTTGCTCGCAACGAGTTTCATATCTAGTTAAGGTCTTCCGTTTCCAACGGAAGACCTTATTGTTTTCGTTCGGTTTCTTTTTCCCTATCATTATTATTATAATTTTTCCAACCGATTTTGTGCACGCAATTTCTCAGAAACGGCTTGGTCGATTTACATGAAATTTTTACACGTAATAGATCATTAAAAGATCTTGATAGGTTTTTAAGCGTTTTTATGACGTCACTTCCGGTCGTGAGATAATGAGAATTTTCTGATTTTAAAATGCAATTTTGTCTTGATTTAGTAGCGAAAACTGCTTAAGATATGAACTGAAGATTACTTGGAGACGATAGATCATGATTTATAGCGTTGCAGAATCGCCTTTTCGTGCGTCGTCAGTACTTCCGGTCGACACCGCAAGCGAATTTAAAAAACGCAATTTTTCAACTTTTCTTTTTTTAATATGTTTGTTCTGATTTGAATAGAGACCCTTTTGCAGAAGCGAAATATGTAATTTGTTTGAAAATCGAAAAAGCCAATCTCGAGATATTAGCATTTGAAAACGCGAAGCGGCGATCCGAATGGCCGAATGGTTAGCGCGTTGGATTGTCACGCGGGCGACCCGGGTTCGATCCCCCGTATGACCAAAAAATTTTATCGTTTTTTCTGCTCGATTTTTCAATATTTTTTAATTTTAGACCATTTGGAACAATATTTTATAAACTTTTAGGCATATCTTACGTAATTAGGGGTCACAAGGGGCCAGAATCTCAAATCTTTGACACTTTATATCTCGAAAAGGTGGAATATTTTGATAAGCAATATTGAATAAAAGATGTTCAGAATAATGTTTTAAACAATATGCATACTTTGAATTTTTGTAAAACGGTCCCATTAGGGACTTGTAGGAGTGGCCCCTAAATATTTCTATGTAGCATATCTCCACAACGAATAGAAATCTCTGAATAAGTGTTGAACAAAAAATCTTCAAAATCACAAGACCTTTCATTTGATGTCAAGAAAATGGGGCTGACCCCTCAAATTAGGGGCTCAGAGGGGCCAAAAGTCTTATATCTATAACACTCTAACGATCAATATTTTGTTATACATTACTGAAGCAAAAGTGTTCATCTTAACGATTTTCAACAATATTTTATGATATTTTAATAATATATTACGTAATTAGGGGTCACAAGGGGCCAGAATGTCACATCTTTGACGTTTTATATCTCAAAAAGGGGGAATATTTTGATAAGCAATATTGAACAAAAGATGGTCAGAATAATGTTCTAAACAATATTCATACTTTGAATTTTTGTAAAAGGGCCCCATTAAGGACTTGTAGGAGTGGCCCCTAAATATTTCCACTTAACATATCTCCACAACGAAAAGAAATCTCTGAAAAATTGTTGAACAAAAAACTTCAAAATCACAAGACCTTTCATTTAATATCAAGAAAAAGGGGCTGACCCCTCAAATTAGGGGCTCAGAGGGGCCAAAAGTCTTTTACCTATAACTCTCTAATGATCAATATTTTGTTATACATTACTGAGGCCAAAGTATTCATCTTAACGATTTGCAGCAACATACAATAATATATTTTTATCATATGTTACGTAATTAGGGGTCGGAAGGGACCAAAATGTTATAATTTTTTTGCTTTATGACTGAAAAAGGGGGAGTATGTTCATAAGCCTTATCAAACAAAAGATGTTCAGAATATCGTGATAAAAATGAGAAACTTTAACTAGGGAAAGCTCAATGTCATTCTCTTAAACAAATATCTCAGTCAAAATCACATCTCATCTTATCTAGAAATTCAACGGAAGACCTACTCGTTGCTCGCAACGAGATATCATCTAGTTAAGGTCTTCCGTCTTCAGCGGAAGACCTTCTTGTTATTCTTAGGTTTCTTTTCCACTATTTAAGGTCTTCCGTCTTCAGCGGAAGACCTTCTTGTTATTCTTCGGTTTCTTTTTCACTTTTTTTCTTACCTATTATTATTCTTTTTTTTCTTACCGATTTTGTGCACGCGATTTCTCGAAAACGGCTCGATGGATTTTAATGAAACTTTCAGGACTCATGTAACATTACTTGAACTTGATTCATTTTTTTCCGTTTTGATGACGTCACTTCCGGTCCGGAAATATTGTCAATTTTATGATTTTTGAAGGGTTGTGTTGTCCGCGAATGTTCTAAAAAATGGCTAAAAAATAGAAAGGTGAAAATTTCAGGGATGATAGTCCTAAGTCTGTAGATGTGCAAAATGTATTTCATTTTTATCGGAAGTGCCGCCCGTCGGCGCTCGCTATGGCCCGAAAATTGTCCTATCGCGAATTTCAAAATTTTTACCACTTTTTCTACGATATCTTTTTACCTGGAAATATTTTGTTAAAACATATAGAGCAAAAGAAGTGTAGAATTTCAAGACCTTTCAAATGATATCTCGAAAAAGGGGCTGGCCCCTAAAATTAAGGGCTTAGAGGGGCCAAAAGTTTTTCTTTATATCTCAAAAAGTATTGGGAATTTGTAATACGTCAAAGAAGCAAAGTTGTTCAAAATGTCAAGCTTAATCTAATGGCATCATCAAAAAATGTCCGGCGACGTCACTTCCGGCCAAACCGGAAGTAGTCGGAAAATGCATATTTTTGCCGTTCTTAATAAGTTTTGGGTAACATCTGTCACTGGGAGCATAAAAACAAATTTTCTGTCCGTCGTCGTCACTTCCGGTCAAACCGGAAGTAGCAAAAAAGGCTTATTTTTGAACTAATAAGCATACATTTAGAGT